GATAGTGGTCGATGCACTTCTTTACTATGAGTGCAACACCACCCCCGTTACGGTTTCTGTCAAGTCTGTATATGTCATAGTCAGGGATGGAGGTATGGGGTGGGTAGGAGAGGCTGTCTGTGTGTTTGTGTAGTGTTTTGTGTCTTGTGTGTGTTTGTGTTTTTGTGTTTTTAGCTTTGGGGTACTGAGGGCACCCCATTTAGCTGGTGGGGTGTGGCCCGGCGCAATTTGCACACCTGGCGGGCGTGTATTTAGGCTTTTTGCAGACGTGCGTGCTGTGGTTTTCGCCACATTTTACGCACTTTGGCTCAGCTGTGCACCGGGTCTGGCCGTGGCCGAACCGCTGGCACCGGTGGCACTGTGTGGCAACCCGCTGCTTTCGCTGCAGCTCTACTCGAACCACGAGCGAGCAGCAGCGGGTTACCTTCAGGATGTCCTCCTGGTCCTGTGGGGCCTGAACTAGGACCAGGGGCATTTCCTGTTTATTTTGACGGCTCGCCATGCGGTGCACTATTGCGCCGGGGAACCCTTGTCTTGCGAGGTCGAGTTGGACCTCACTTGGCGAAACACCCGCAGGTATTCCGCGTATCACCACCCTCAGCGTTTTTTCTTCGCTGAGGGTGAAGGTGTGGTACTCCTCGCCTTTGTCTGTCAGTGTCTTTGTCAATAGTCTGTGGTCATTAGGTGTGTTTGGGTATATGGCTATACCGTCTTTAGTCAATTTGGCTTTTGTATAGTTAATGTTAAGTGTCGTGAGTATTTTTTGTACTTGTGTCCACCGTTCTTGCTTTCGCAAGATTACCGGGGGGACTTGTTTGGTTTTGTCTGTCTGTTGTGTGTTTTGTGGGGTGTTTTGTAGGGCGCTTGTGGAGGGTTTAGGTGTCGGGGGGCGCGTGTTTGGTGTTTGTGTTCGTGTTTTGTTTGTTTTGTCTGATTTTTTATGTCTTGGGGCTTCGTCCTCGCTAGAGGATTCTGCCGTGTGTTTTTTGCGTTTCTCTGTCCGTGTGTGTGCGGGGTGTGTGTGTGGGGGGGGTGTGTGTGTGCCTGTCTGGGGTATATTGTCTGTCATTTGTTTGTTAATGAGTTTGTCAAGTTTTTGGTGTAATTTAGTGGTGTTTTCGTCCGAAAGTTTAATTGTTTTTTGCAAATCGACGATTTGCTGTGTCATGGTTAGTATTTGTTGGTATTGTCGGGTGTTTTGTTCTGTCAGTTCGTGTATTTGTTGTTTTAGCGTCTCGTTTTCATGTTTTTGTGTTTGTAACTGTTCGTATAAATCTGTTTTATTGGTCATATTTTTTGGTGAAGCGGAGACTCTTGAAGAGGGTCTTTCGCTGTCTGTATCGTCCATGTATATGTATATGTTCTCCTCGTTTTCGGAGTCCGACATTGTGTGCGTGTGTGTGTGTATGTGTGTGTGTGTGTGGGGGGGGGGAAGGTGTGTAAGTGTTAGTCGTGTGGGGATGCCCCCTTACGGGGGCGTACGTGTCTTTTGGTGTATTTGTCTGTCTGGTATATTGTTTGTCGGGGGTCGCAATTTTAAAGAAATGTATTTTAAAGTAATGCAAATAACTGAAAAATAAGTAAAAGTGGGACTTACCTGGGCATAACCCCGGCACAGGTACCTGTAACAAATATGTCGACGGCCTCTATGCTTAAGCCGGGGATTAGGTCGGTGGTTAAGAGGAAAGAAAGGGATTCTTTCCAGGTAGCCTTAATAAAGGCAGGTAGAATTTGCTCCTTGCACTACACTTTCACAAAACACGTGTGCTCTGCTCGGCTGTCCGCTCGGAATTGACTTGAACATGACTTATCCTAAAAAATTTTCGATGAAAAACTAGATGTTTTGATATTCGTTGTAAACGTGTGTGTTTTAAGTTTACTTTATATTTTAGCAGTTTTTTTTCTGTTTAGGTATACAAAAAGTAAATTTGTTATCCATAACATGAATAAAGAAAACTTACTAGGTTTATTGGCGGAATTACTAGCAACTGGAATTTTATGGGCTTAAAATTAAGTAAAAAATTCACAGATTAAAAGCCTAAATTTGTGTAATTGTAGATGTCGAGCGTCATATTGTTTATAACAAAAGAAAAAAAATTATTCTTTTTTCAGTTTTTCGCTTACATCTCCGAAAATAAGCCTCTAATCGACATGAGGTATCCTTATCGATTTTCTTCCTGAGGAAATTTGCTACAAATACAGGCTTTTACGAAAGCTCGCAAAAATTTTTTTATATTGCAAAATTAGCAGTCAAAATATGTGCAAAATTTTCAGAATTAAAGAACAAATTTGACTGAAACTGGATGAAACTACAGAAAAAATTTCAGTCAAATTTGTTCTTTTTATATTTTGCACATTTTTCTAAAAGGGGTACTGTTCTCGCATGGGAATTTTTGCATATGTTCCAGTTGACAGTTGACGATATTGACATCTCTGCTTCTGGCTAAATACCCCCTGGGTGAAAGCCAAAAACAGAAGAAGAAGAAGATATCTCTGCAATTGTTGATATGGAAGAAAAATTAATATCAGAATTTATGACATTGGTTAGCAAAAAAGAAGCAGTAATTTCTTATCAAGTATACCTGGAAATTTGCGAAATAAAGAGATATCACGATGTATCTTATTCTTTTAATTCTTTGCTGAATAAGATTTGTATATCTGCTAAAAAAATTAAAAATGGACCAACATCTATATTTATAGCAATTTCGTTAAATGACGATCTAAACTTTGTAAAAATTAGAGACATTGTACAATCATTTCCAAATGAATTAATATTTGTAGTAATAGTACATTCAGATTCGACGACTGTGTATTATCAATTAGCTGAAAATTTATTAGAACCTAGGGATACAACTGCAAAACATTTAAAAGAAAATAAACAAGAAAAATTAGATAACGACTTAAAGAGAAACAGACAGCTTTTAGAACATAGTGCATTACTTGGGCTTCAAGTAACTCTGAAATGAAGTTTTCTTGTGGTAAAATAGAATAGGTAGGTCTACTTTGTTTCTGAAATTAAAGTATATTTTATTTTGAAGATAATATATATATTTTTTTAATCAGAAATAGATAACTGTTAATATGTCGTACAACTAATAAAAATTGCTATTTTTGCAGAAAATGGCAATGAAGAAAGGGAAAGGGTTTGCTGTACTCATACCACTGGACTCTAATCCAGAAGAATTGGTCTAATTCAGGTTAATCAAAAATGTTTATTTTAGATTATTGGTATTGATGAAGTTCTATTCTCAATAAAAAAATATGTGTTAAAATAAGTGCTCTATATTTAACAAAACTATTACACATTAAAAATGATCACATTATTTGTCAATAAATAAGTCAATTTAAAAAATAAACTACATTTGGGAGTTACAAATTTTTTTTTCCATTAATTTTCGAAATTTTATTTCGTGAAATATTGTCAAAAAATAATAAACCAGCTGCTCGTTCAATACTTTCTGGAGGAACCTGAAAAATACCAATACAAGTATCAATTAAACATCAACTTCAATGCAATAAACAAATTAAATAATCTTGATGTGATTAATTTTAAAATATGTATACAGGCTGTTACAAATTTGCTTTTCACTTCAGGGATCTTGGAAACTGTAGGAGATACGAAGTAGCTTAAATGGGGTGATATTGAAAAAAGAAGAACACTCTCATGGCAACCTTTTGCCTTCTATCGAATGGCATAATCAATTTTTATATGTAAGGTTTCGTCTCTCCAGGACCATCATCAACTTTATTTTTTTAAATGCGACCCTGGAAATTTTATAACATTTTTTGCAAGCCTTCATGACCCCCAATACTGTACTGCCTCAGCTCGAACCAGATTCAGACATTTTGTGTCGAAAAATTCATCTTCAATGTATTCGTTCCAAATTTATCTATTTTTCTTTTAGATTTCTATGTTTCTTGAATTATTGTACACTCTAAGTGTTGTTAGACCCTGTGAAATCCACATAGTTATTTAAACTATTACCATCACATGTTACAATAAAACATTTATTATAGTTCACCTGGTCATACATAATTCGATAAGTTGTTGCGTCAAAATTAAAACATTACTACAATTTTAATTTCATTATGACAAATTAATTCTTAAAAATGCATATGAACAACCAAAACGCCAACTGAATATTATACTTTAAAAAATTACAGTAAATGTTCAAAAACATTTCCATTTTGGCAAATGTTGAAATTGAAGATAAGCATAATACGAGGGTTGTCCGTAAATTAAGGTCTCCAACAAGCTCCCGTTGCGGCGGAGCGAGCTACCTTAAATCAGACAACAGCATCGTGTTCCTTGTTTCCCCCACCACTAATCTGGCTGGTCACTACCTCGCTGTGACGACTGACGGTCAGTCTTGGCCTTGGCTTAGCAGCCGTTAATGATGGAAGGAAAAATCGGCGCTCCCGCCAAGTGTGAATTGCGTTCGGTGATTAGATTTCTGTGGTTTAAGGGGTCACCCCCTATTGAAATTCATCGCCAGTTGACCGATGTGTATGGACATAAAAAATGTGCGGAAGTGGTGTAGAGAATTTGCAGACAGTCGTACAAACGTGCACGACAAGGCCGGCCGCGGGCGTCCATCAGTTTCGGACGAGACAGTGACGAAAGTTGAGGAGCATTTGCTTGCGGATCGGCGTGTGACTGTGCGAGAGATTGCCGAACTGATAGGAGACGTCTCCAAGACTACTGTAGACAAGATTTTAACAGACATTTTGAAATATCACAAGGTGTGTGCCAGGTGGGTGCCACGGATGCTCACCGATGAACACAAAAAGAAGCGCATGGAAAGTGCTCGCGAGGTTCTGCGCCGTTACCGAGAAGAGGGTGAGGAATTATTGGATTCAATTGTAACAGGGGATGAGACTTGGGTCCATTACTTCACGCCAGAGACTAAGGAGCAATCGAAACAATGGCGACATTCCGATTTTCCAAGTGTCAAGAAATTCAAGCAAACGTTTTCAGCGGGGAAGGTTATGACTTCGGTATTCTTGGACAGGGAAGGTGTTCTGCTGGTTGACTACCTGGAAAAAACAATTAACGTGGCAAGGCACTGCGAGACACTAAAAAAGCTACGCGTGCTATACAGAATAAAAGGAGGGGTCGGCTGACCAAAGGAGTTTCTTTGCACCATGACAACGCCCGCACTCAAGTCGCCCGCACCACGATGGATCTTATCGCCAAATTCGGGTGGGAAATCATGGACCATCCTCCTTACAGCCCTTATTTGGCCCCTAGTGCCTATTATTTGTTTCCCAACCTGAAACAACACTTGGGAGGAACGAAATTCTCCAGCGACGAAGAGCTGAAGGCAGCCGTCGATACCTTCCTGCGTGAGTCAAGGGAGAGTGGTACGACGCGGGTATGAAAAAGCTCCCAGAACGACTCCAAAAATGCATTGATCGTAATGGGGACTACGTTAAAAAATAGCTAATAAAAGTCCAGCTTTCAGAGTATGTACTTAGTTTTGTAATAAAATGATGTTTACTATTTGAAAAAACATTGGAGACCTTAATTTACGGACAACCCTCGTATGATCGGAATTTATTATATCTGTAACCGCAACTGTGAAAGAACATGTCAGATGTATTTGTACGAATATCCTGAAAAAAGTTAGATCAATATTTGTTTGAATTTTGAGCTCTTGAGAAACCTAGAAATAACTATGAGCACAGGATTAAAACTCTAATAATGTTTTATTGTAACATGTGATGGTTATAGTTTAAATAACTAGGTGGATTTCCCAGGGTCTAACGACACTTAAAGTGTACGAAAATTCAAGAAACATAGAAATCTAAAAAAAAAATTTGATAAATTTGGAACGAATACATTGAAGATGAATTTTTCGAGACAAAACGTCTGGATCTGGTTCAAGCTGAGTCAGTACAATATTGGGGGTCATGAAGGCTTGCAAAAAATGTAATAAAATTTCCAGGGTCGTATTTAAAAAAATGAAGTTGATGATGGTCCTGGAGAGACGAAACGTTACATATAAAAATTGATTATGTCATTCGATAGAGGGCAAAAAGTGGCCATGGGAAAGTGTTCTTCATTTTTCAATATCTCCTCAAACAAAGCTGAAATGAAACAAAAACGGATTTCTAAAATTTCGTTTTTTTTCAAATATTTCGAAAACTAATGTTAGCCTTGATTTTTAGAGGCATAATGTTGGTCCCCTGATTACGCCCCCATTTAAGCTACTTCGTATCTCTTACCGTTTCCGAGATCCCTGTAGTGAGAAGCGAATTTGTAACAGCCTGTATAGAACTTTTCGGGCCAGTATGAACTCATAAATATGGTAGAACGATTATCTGAGGTAATATTAGTGACTCTCATCTTGGATAACTGAAAACTCAAGGATAGTTCATATTTAAACGATTTTTATTAGTTTTTTAATTCTGAATAGGAAAAATGTATATCCTCGTTGTGCCTTCAAAATGCAACGTGCATATTTTCAGCAAAACATGTTAAAATGCAGAATTCGATAAACGACATCAAACCGGATAATCTGGTTAAAAACAGTCATCTTATTTTTTACAGAATTGTGACTGTTTGGTATAAAATTAAAAATAACTTGTAATTTTTAAATAAAAAAGACCAAGATACAGTTTTTTAACTCCTTTGACCAATATGATATAATACACGTCACGTTTTGAAGGTGCAATGATGATATGGTGTCCAGGTTATTGGAACAGTTGACTACTGATTTATCAGTAAGGGGAGTCAAAATTAACAAAGTTGATTTATAAATACATTAAGCAGTGATGGAGACAAGGCAAGTCAGTACCACTCAGAATTTCAGCCACTTTCAGACATTTCTAAGAAAAAATATTTGTTCCATTTTGATCGAAGAACAAACCATTACAGTTCTGATTTTGTTTATTACAAAATAAACTTACCACACAGCGTAACAAATTGAAAATAACTGTACAACTACTCGTTTTATAGAAACAGTTAATGGAAATTTTTTCTCAAATATATTACGTCAAAAAATTATTGTATCTGTACTAAAACTTAAACACCATGAAACATTTTGAACTAAGTTATATTTTTGGCATCAAGATTATCTGGTAGCATTTGTGTTAGCTTACTTAAATACTTATTTCCCTCGGAGAGAACAATTGTAACAAATTAAAAACATGAAAAATACAGCTGAGAAAGAGACAGATATGTACAATTTCAAATGTTTGATTTCAGAGACAAATGATTAATGTAGTGACCAATAAAATAATTTATTTTTGTAATAGTACACAAAAATTACAACTCAGACTAAAAAACTGTGACAAAATTTACTTACTTGAAAACTGGTTAAAGGTACATCATCATCTATGACTTGATTAGGCATTACATATGCTTCCATTTCTAATCTTCCGTCTAGAGTTTCACCTACAACTACTTTATAAAAATGGGTTGGAACAGCTACATGATTTGCACCAATAACTTCATATTTTACATAATTCTTCCCATTTGCTTCTTTTCTTAAAAATTAACAAATTTTTTATAATAGTATTTTACATCATGTTCCAACCACAATATTGAAAAATGAAAATATAATATATTACCTTGGTAAATAAAGAGGACCAGTACAACAGTACACATTTGGGTAAACTTTTGTTAATTTTCGAACATGTTTCTCCAACCTATTCCATGAATGTCTGTTAAATCCTACGCCAACTTGTGGGGCCATATTTGATAAGAAAAAAGTTTGTTCAATATGTTTCTGTGAAAATTTATGATTCCCTGCTGCCGCTAAATGTCCACGATCATAACCAGAGCCTTTATAATCCGAATTATCTGACCTACAAATGTTAATTTAAGCAATGATTAAGAAAATTAAAATTTACAAACCTAAAAAATTTATGGATACTTTCATCAGGTTTAAATTCACATTTTGACCTATCCACGGCATCGTTCTTTTTAACATTATCAACTGTTAAGTGTTCAAATACCCAGTGAGCAACTCTATTACGACGGTCATAACTTAAAACAAAATCATCAAAAGATCTTACATTATCTAAACCAGGAAAGCCATATTTCATTATCTGAGAACATCTACTAACATTACTTTCGACTGGAGCAGGAGAAAAAGCAGTAGCTGCAGAAACCGTACCAAATATTGGTAGGGCAGGTAGGTTATAAATTTGTTTTTTTAACTGAGACCTATTTTTTCTCTCAAAATATGTACCTGCTAAAAAGCTACTCGCCGTCAAAGATCCTAACAAAATATATTTTGAAATTTTTTTACTACCCATATTTATTTTTTAATAACTAAACAAAATTATTTAATATAATAATACTCTAATTTTAATCTGTATACAATCCATTAAATCATTTTATAAAAGTCACAGAAATTCAACAATAAAAATATTAAAATATTAGGTTAGTATTTCTTGTCTAGGGCAGAGATATAAGGGGTTTACGAAAAATATATCTGACCAACTGATCCGAGCGCTGCTTACTCTGGTCAGAGTGCTCTTTTAAATTGGCTATTTTCGTAAGCACCTAGTCGAAACCGATCTAATCTAACCTCTATCACTATCTACATGCAATAATTCTACAAATAAATGTGAAGAGTGGTATCTGTATGATGTACGACTACAATAATAATAATGTTCATCTACATCTACCATATCTAAATTGTTATTTAACATATTGCCATTTTTTATTTTTTTCTACACCAGACAACTGAAGAGAACGAAACGAAGTTCATGTTTCATTCAACAGTCAACAAAACAATCTTTCTTTAGGGGTTTACGATAATTGTATCGGAGTGGTCGGAACAAGAAAATGCCGTACGAATATTCACTCTGATGATTCGATCCCATTACGAAAATGCAACCTCAATGCCAGGGCCTGAGAACTTATACTTGAAAATATGGGGACACTGGGAACCACGTGACTTGAGATGGATATACAAGTTGGGGAAAGAGTCAATAGATGTCGCCACAAAGATTTTGTAGAATAAATTTTGACAATTGCAATTATGAATCATTTCATGTCGCGCCGCGCCATTATTCCATGGCTAGAAATTGGCCTCAATGATTTGGGATCGAGGGGGATTATCCCTCTTTATCCTGCCTCATCTCGTGTAGGCCTGGACAGCCTTCGTAGGTGGGCCCCATCCGTCGTCTACCCCGACCGCAAATGCGGCCGGTGTAGGCGCTTTGTGGGACCTCCTTTTGTCCTGGCTGGGCCCCGCCGGCTAGGGCCCTTTCTTCTGGCGCTCTTCTTGCTTCGCCGGCTCGTCTGTGTAAACCCCGGGGGTAGTGTCATGTTTATGTGTGGTATGGTTGGGTAGGGTAGTGCGGCTATGCAGCCTGGGATGCGCTTTGCTAAGG